GCTTTGATAAACTCAACTTTTTAATGATGGACAATATGAGGCTCTCCAAAGGGGTTTTGGAATTGACTTGCTGGAGATGTCACAACCATGAATGAAAGCTTCAATTGCGCATATGCTTAAGTGGAACAGAAGTTAGTGATGCTATAGATTCTAAATGAGGTAAAACTAAAATATCTTTTGCAGAATCCAAACCAGTAGAATGGAAATTTTCTTCACTGCAATAAGTGATTATAATCTGGAAATTGCATTATTCACTTTCATATAAGTATTGAATAGCTTTATATTTCTGTTAAAAGTACTTGACAGAGGAATTAGAAAAGTGCATTAAGTATTCATGTGATAATTTGTTAATGTTCAAGTTTATATGTAATACCTATTAAATATTCTTCAGGTGAACACATAAGACAACCCTTTTGACATCTAAGGACATGTAACTGTTTTAGTTATGTAGATATCAAAGTAAGCATAACATTAAATTACTACAGATTATCCATCATCATGTTATTATAAATTGAATCTTGTCAACCAAATTGTCTCAGTGATGTGGGATTTTTGACAAAATAAATCAAGGTATTTAAGTAATTAAATAAGTAATTTACTTATACATCTCAATCAGTGCACAATGCCAGGCTGAGTTTGTAATCAGGTATCAGTACCTGTGTTATAGGGAACCTGAGTGACAAAGGAAATCAAGTGCTGCCACAATATCTAGATTGCTTTTCTGCTCAATTACATTAACTATCAAGGTCATGGCAATGCGCTAGCAAACCCGGATGAATTGATCTAGCACTTACTTGATGATTATTTAGGACAGGCTTAGCATGTCTATATAACCCATTATAATTATTGGCAGAATATAAACAGGTTCAATATGTTGTACCAAATGACATGTTGAAGCTGCTTGCAAAATACATTTTATGCTATTCTGTTTTTGTCAAGCTCCAGATAACACAATTAGCTCCATTCCCCATATCCATCTTCCACAGCATAAGATTGTTCATTCTGAACATTTTTACAATTTACATATTGCAGATTAATCTCCATTTGTTTTCTTTGTTTTATGTTCAAAACTCTTTATAGCTTTATCCCCTGCCTATAATTATACCGCTCCCAGTCTTAATAAGATTGATCAAATAAGCAATCAATTCTCAAGGATCCATTAACTCTGTGGGTTAGTTTGTATAAAGCAGTAAAACACACCACAAGTTATGAAGCAGACATCACAACAATATGACACTTCCAAGCACGACAAACCCCCAAGATTCCTATGGTCCTTCAGGTCTAGTTTTGTGCACATTGGCAGTTTCTTTCATTCCACTAATGATAATTGCACTTTCCACTACCTGCAATTTTCTTACTGAATCTCGTCACTTCTTAGTTTTCTGTCTCTCTTTCCTCCTTCAAATCACTCCTTAAAACTCATCTCTTTGACCAAACTTTTGGTTGCATCTTAAATTGCCTTATGTGGCTTGATATACAATGTCATATTCTATTGAAATACATAGTTGTCAAAGTGCTTTGGGACAAGTTATTGTATTTAAAGACACTATATAAATACCAGTTGTTGTTGCTGTTCCTTTAGAAAAAGAGCAAAAGTTTCAAGTATTTTAATCTAATTTTAAAGGCTTACTTTACATCCTGTGATCTCTTAGGTTAAGGCAGTAAGTAAAAGGTTATATAACCATATGCTGTTTGTGGCTTACATTTCTTTTATTAATTTAGAAACATCTGAGTGAATATACTCTACATGCCAGGTAAATCAAGAAATCTCCAAACCAAATTGCTTTTAGTTAACAAAAACAGGCATTGCTGGAAAAGCACAGCAGGTCTGGCAGCATCTGTGTAGAAAAAAATCAGAGTTAACGTTTCGGGCCCAGTGACTCTTCCTTAGATCCAGTTCGAGGAAGGGTCACCGGACCCAAAACGGTAACTCTGAATTTTTCTTCACAGAAGCTGCCAGACCTGCTGAGCTTTTCCAGCAATGCCTGTTTTTGTTCCTGATTTACAGCATCTGCAGTTATTTTGGCTTTTAATTTGCTTTCAGTTAACGTTAGCTGAAAGCATGGATGAAGTAGTGGAAATGGCGATAATCGATTAATTGAACACAAACCCAGGAATTAACAAGAGATTTTATATATATACATATTCCTCATTGGACATTACTAAATGAGCCTATCCCATTTTTGGTTCTGTGACCTTGCTATATGTGAATTTGTTGCTCAATTGTGTACCCCAAGAGGCCCGGGTTCAAGTTCCACCTTCTTCAGAGATGTGCAATAATATCAAGAAAATATCTAGAGCATTGACTATACCTCAACAGTAGGTCATTGACTATAAATTCATTTAGGACATCCCAAAGCTGTGAAGGGGTGACATAAATGCAAGTTCCATTTTCCTATATCTCTCATAGCCACATTACCAATGAATTCCCATTTTAAGTCTTTCGGTTAGAGAATTACATTGTGCATGTTTTATAAACAGTTTGCCCACATGTCCATACTATTCCTATCCACTTCCTGATGGTTCAGTTGGCAAAGGCAGGGTAGTGATACTAAAAGAGGAAGCACCAGGTCAATGCAAGGCTCTATAGGAGCAGAGTCAGAGTAGTAGGCAACAGCCCCATGTTAGCACCAATTGATAGGGAAAGAAATAAGCAAAATAAATTATGTCTAGCAGCTACTGGCGACCAGACTTGTGCCTTGTGCCCTGTAAAACTTGGCAGAACTCACTGATTAAGTTCATAGATAAGTAATGACTATTTTGGACATAGTCCATCACTTGTAGTATTCGTTCCGAATATGACTCTGCACTTTTGGGAAAAGATTTGGGACTGCAGAGGTGGGAGCAGTGGTTGGTGAGTGGGTGCCAAATACTTTTTAAAAGGACTTGAGTCAATATGGTATGATTGATATCTCAACTGCTTGGTGGCACAGATCTAATTCCGAAGCACTCTGCATCCAAAATAGCATCGTGCTGATTTTTAGACCAACACACAGCTGACTTCCTTTCATTGAGAAACTAACAAAGACATCATACAACTGAAATATTCCATGAATGAATTTAACTAAAATAGATTTAATTCAGCAAGGACTCGCAATAAATAATAACTGTAGGCAAAACATTGATGCCATGTCTCCAACAACATGCTTTGTCTGACGTCAGTCTAAATGCTTAATGGCAGTTAATGAGAAAAATAACTTTTTGTTTTGCAGGAGTAATAAATGTCTTGAAAAAACACTGAAGCAAAAGCAACTAGTGCCTTATTCTGCATGTCCTTGTGTTACACAATCTCTTTATGTTTGGTGTGTATGGCCAGCCCTGAATCTTAATGTCTAACTTACATGGCCCTCACCTCAAACAAGATCTCTGCACATTGAGTGTAACTTAAAAACAAATAATAATGTATTGGGTTGACAATGAATGAATGCATGGGGCTACTCATGGGGCCAGTAGCAACAGTCGCGTGGCATTTATTGAGTGCAAAATTTGTCTTCTATACTTCTAAAGTAACCACCATCTTGGTGGACAGTTAAAAGCACATCAGGACTACCAGCAAGCTGTAGAACCAAGAAGGTGGCTGTGGGTATCAGTTGACCAGTCAGGTGACGCAAACAAGGGAGCCTTAGACAGGGCATTTTTGTGACTTTGAGCAGCAGCATTCCTCTTCATTCTGTTGCTGATATATAATTAGAGTAAAAATAACTTGGGCTATTTTATGAGTAGTTTCAAGCCCCTCTGAGGAAACCTGATTAGTCTGCATGGTGCCTTTTATAAATAAACGAATCTACTTGTTTCATCTTAGATTAGTATTGCACTTTGGAATGTTCTATCAATGGAAGTAGCTGAAACCATTAAATAAACGTGTCCTGCAGAAATGTGTCTCCTATAGTAATGCATGTGCATGCATAACATGCGACAAAGTAATCCCAGATCATTATTTTAAAATTTGCCAGGATATCTGGACAGGTGTACAAGCAGTTCATGGTTGGTTTAGGCAGTGCCAGAAAGTTAAACTTTCTAAATGCAATTAGCTGTTTAAACAGATTGTAAGGCTATGATGGACTCTTTTGTAATTTGGCTAGTTATGGAATTATGATGATTATGGTTGTGGTGTTTTTCAATGATGAGATCATAAAAGTCAAAGTATCATCTTCTTCAAGAACAATCCTGTGATATATATGGTACCTTGGAATCAAAAAATGATTCATCACAGAAAGAAATCATTCGACCCATAATGTCTATGCTTGGTATTTGAAAAAGCAATCTGGTTAATTCACTAATCTTTCCCTAACCCTATACATTTTTGTATAGCAAGTATATATCCAATTCCCTTCTGAAGGTTATTGAATCTGCCTCCACCAGCCTTTCAGGTAGTATATGGCAGATCATAGCAACTTTCTGTACAAAAATATTCTACTTGTTTTTTTGGATTTTCATCAATTATCTTAATTTGTGTCCTCTGGTTACTGATCATCATGCTAGTGAAAACCATTAGTCCTTGTCTACTCTATGATTCACCATTGTAATTCTGCAATGATCATTAATGAGACTCTGTGATCAGTTGGCCAGAATGGTTCAAATGAGGTGGAAAGGACAAGATCTGCCTTCTTTCAACAATTGCAGTGTTCTACACCTTGTTTAGGTGTATATCCGGTATATGGTCAACGATTGATCAAACACACCTGACGGAGGTAGGCTAATGCGACTTTCTTTAGAAGGCAAAAACATCCACTGAGTGGGTCATTTATTATCACTTGCATTATGCTCACTTTATTGCTGAAAACCTTCCACTTTTTTCTTCTGTTAGAATGCACTTTTACCCCCTTTACAATTGCTATGCTCATTCAAGGTTACCTTTTATTTAATTGCCATGATCCCTTTTCGGCAGCAGGTGCTATAATTTCTGCATAACTTCACGAGTTACTTATTTTTTGCATTTATTTCCCTGATTTTTTTTATATTTCTCCCCACGTTTCCAACCACCATGTACACTCCATCAGCCGGTAGAGACGGGTGGACACTACCACGGACAGCTCCACGAATGCAGTTGCAGATGACGCTAGGCCCTCACGTACCAGGAACCTTGCGAAGTCAATATCTCATCCCCCGAGGTGAGCTCCTCAGCTGAGGCTTGGTGAAGCTCATCACCAGGGCTTCCCTCTGCTTTGTTTTCAAAGTTGTTACCTTACTTGGTGGTTCTTGAAAGTTGTTACTGATGATAACTAATGCTGGCTTTTGCTCTTGATCTTCCAGACATTTTCATTAGGTGTGCAGTCATTGCTCTTGCTGCCAAGATCTTAACCATCAATGTGTTCAATGTACCAGGCTGCTCTTGCTGATTTCAAAGCTTTGTATGGCCGCTGCAGCACAAACATTTCTTAGTTTAACAACTTGCCAAGTTCTTTTATTTCTCCCCACCCTCCTGAAAGAGGCCCACCCTAGCCTCATCCAACTGATGACTCTTCATTTATGAGCTTCAGTTAATGAGAGTAAGTAGGCTATTTGCCTTTATTGGGAACCCATGTCTGTTGACTTATATCCATGTCTAGTGCTCATGCTTATGCACTATCCAATGAAAATGACCAGGGAGTAATCAGTAATCATAACCCTGAATGATTTGCTCTCTCCCTTACTCCTCCACTGAGAATAATTATAGTTTCTCGACAACTACCCAGATGACATCAGCTTACTCAACACAAACTGGGGACTGTACCTGGGTCTTTTATGCTCTCTGTGTTCTGGCTTTACTGTAGATGGTGTCTGGTCTTTTGAGGATCTTCCTGACTTTTTGCTTGTAACCATGTGGTATTTTTCTTCTCTGTGTCTTTGTGCTCTGCCTTTCCATTGTCTCACTGTCCTGCTTCAGGTGAACATCAATACAATCCAAACTACAGACTTCTTCATAATTTTATCACCATAACATCAGTATGCAAGTTATGTCTTACATGAGGAGCAGGTTCTCTAGTCCCTTGGTGATTTTCTGTAGCCCTTGCCTAATGAAGGGGCACGACTAGATTGAACTTTAACAAAATCTCCATCTATGAGCCATTGAAGTGAGCCTATGGGGAAATAGCTGAAGTTTTATGCTCGTCAAGGATGTGGTTCAAAACCAGGAATGCGAGCACTCAGGGTTTGGAAGCTGACCATGCAGTAAGTTTCAAAGTTGGAAACTGAACAGTAATAGGGCAAATGATCAATGTCAGCAGTGGAATATCAGCCAATAATGAATCAATATCTTCCCTATTTTTTAACATTCAGCTTTCCCCACCATGTCACCATCTTAGAAAGGTTCAAAAAGATATTTCAATGTATTGCCACCTCTAGTCAAATGAGAAATTACTCTTATTCTATCATTAAGATGAAAAAAGTAACACAGGTTTGTTAATCCTTTTTAAAACTTGCAAGGATATTAAGCGACACTTTGGATTTATAACATTAAAATCTAACTGATAGTAATTTAAAAGAAACATACACCAGATCTGTGCACATCTGCATTTCAGGCAGCTCATTGATTCTGGTAGCAATCTCTACACGTATAGTCTTTAACTTATAGACTCACGTATTTCATTTCTGAAGAAGGGTCCAGACCCGAAATGTCAGCTTTCTTGCTCCTCTGATGCTGCTTGGCCTGCTGTGTTCATCCAGCTCTACACCTTGTTATCTCAGATTCTCCAGCATCTGCAGTTCCTACTATCTCTGAGACTTATGTATTATAAGGTTATGTATGTTTGATAATGCTCATATCCTGGATTCCTTAATTTATGCAGTTTAAGCACATTCATTTATCATGCAAAGTTTTTTTTTAATCACTAATCTGACAAACTATTTCACACTTAAAGAACATTATATCACGCCTTCAAAAGTTCCTAATTAACCTACATTAAGATAAAAGCTATACCTGGAGGCAATAGAATGCAGTCAGCCTTATTCTGATTTTAGTGAGATGAAAGCTAAATTGTTGAACCTAAGGATATAAAGGTGTAGATTATTCTATAGAAAAAGGGTATGAGCATTGAATGAAATTATTTAAATAGTTGGAGAACCATAAGATTATGCTGGGTCAAAACTCACTTTAGACAGATTCACAGATTTACCAAGCAAGCTCTTCAGCCTTGTAGAGGTGAAGGTGAAAGTAAAGAATTGACTGTTACATGGATACCATGGTGACCAATGACACTCTGTTTTGCAACAAAGATTGGGAAAGATAAGGAATTAGAGGTAACACTGTGGAGCTGAAGGAACACAGCAGGCCAGGCAGCATCAGAGGAGCAGGAAAGTTGATGTTTTGGGTCGGGACATGAGAGGCTTCGGTGAATTATAATGGCTATTCATGTGTGCAGCAATAAGCCTAAAGGCCATATGAACTGATCAAAACTTCCTGACTTAACCACTAAACAAGTCAATGAGTCAACAGCACATACAAAGAGGGTAAAGATATATTGAATTCAGTGATTAACTGTACTACAGTTTACATTCCAGGAACTAGGCTGAGCCCAGTCAGGAAAATGACATGTTGGAAAGATTTTAGTCACTGCAATATTCAGATTTTTAAAACCTGTTGGAGGAAAGAGAAATTGAATGTAAGTTATCTAGTGGCTGAGAAATGCAATGGATCAGAGAAAGGAAATGGTGTGAAGAGTTTTGGTTCCAAAAGCAGGACACAAGCAGAAAGAACAGAGTCTGAAATGCGTTATTAGGGAGAAGTAGTACTGGATGTCCCAAGCATCAATGAATGGACTGAGGTAAAAGAAAGGTTGATACTTTTTTCCTTTCATTCCTTGGAGCAAATTTACAACTGCTTCAGGCAAATTGTTGTTTCATCTCTGGCAATGATTCAGGGTGTTCAAAAATAGCTTTGGCAGTCCCCATTGCTGTATTCAGTGCACTGAATTTCCCACAGGATTACAATGGTAGGATAATAAATAAACAATCAATTGGGTCTACATTAACATTTTGAAAAAGACATTACTAGCAAAAACGCAGTTAGTGCCAAGTTAACTTAACTCATTGAGTATTGGTACAGTGCAAAATACAACCTTTTTTATGTTACGTAATAAATGATAATGATAATCAGCAAAGAAAAACTTCCAGAAAAACAAGGCATCACAGGTGAAAAGGCCTTTGACTTGCAAATTAATATTAACAACCTTTCTCTTCAGATGCAGGCTCACCTGCTGAATGTTGCCAATATTCTACTGGGGAGGGGGTAGGTGATGCCAGTATCATAGGGGTTTCTTTCACTGAACCAAAAATTTGAGTCATTTTTTATTGAAATTATTATTGTTGATGATGGAGTATTGAGATTAGTGAAATAAAAATATTTTCCTCAAAACAAAAAATCCTGGTAAAGTATTGCAGATCAGTTAGTCAGAAGGGGAGATTGTTTTTCACATGGGTAGGTGGCAAAAGCATTTTAAATGTGATATTGCTTGAGATTTTGCTAGAGAAGAATATAAAAGATCATGGAACTAATGTGTGTGATTGGAGTTAAGCTACAGATCAGTCATAAACTCATTGAGTTGTAGAACAGGATCTAGTTGCTGACCAATGGCCTCCTGTTTCAATGTTTTTGAGAAGGGCATAGTTCCTGAACACAGCTTTGAAGTCATTGTGCAATAGCCCCTAATGTAGGACCAGCTAAGACTCACAAAGTGAAACATAGAAAGAATGGAAAAGAATGTTATCTATTCCCTTGGTACATGGAGGTTTGATAACTTTCCAACAAAGGAAAAAGATCAGAACCCTCAATTAATGTGCTAATTGATCTGAGTCAATGAAAGGTTAATAGCTACATCTCAGTGAATATGCTAAGAATGGCTCGATGTTGCTAGTCAATGTCAAGACAGATGCTGTACTTTCCAAAAATGCTGGAGGGTAGTAATCAGGAGAGGGATCCTTTCTCATGCTCATTGACTTCATGGCAAGTGTCAGCTTGGCTCACTTGGTACCACTGTCATCTTTGAGTCAGAAGATTTTTAAATCATGTTCATGCTACATTGTTTGAAGCATTATAATTATTAATCTGGAGCCTGACCTAGTTAGCTAGGCTTATGTGATGCTCTTCAAAGAAAGGCAAAGAGCTCTCCAGCTGTTTCAGCCAAATATTGCTCTGTCAGGTACTGCCATACTAAAATATAAATTACCTGATCATTCATCTCATTGCTGTTTGTGGGACATTGCTGTGTGCAAAATGGCTGCCCCATTTGCCTACATGATAAAAGTGATTGTGAATCAGTGTTTGCTTCGCAATGCTTATAAGGAATGTGGTAAGGTATTTATAACTGGATGTTCTTTCTTTTTCTTTCCCTCGCATAGGAATGATGAGCTTTGGTTGAAATCAGCTCATTCAGCAGAGCCCAAGGACCTTCTACTCAGTGTGGTTCAATACACAATTGGTACCATATTTCTCCACTTACCCATCGGGGAAAGCTATAATGTGTATATATTCTCATTCTGGCAAATGCTCAAAAATGGTTTCCAAAACTGTTCAGACATGTATACAGCACTAAAGGATAAATGACTGGTTTGCTGTGTTACATGTCGCTGTTAGTACATTTCCACATTTAGTGTCTCAGTGAAATAACTTAATTAATGCACATTGGCTGTTCTTAAATCAGTTTTTCATTGCTGCAGATACCTGAATCCTGCTCTCCACACTGTTCCTACAATTTCAAGATTTTTCCTCACTATGGCATCATTTGTATACATAGGTAACCTGCAAGACTCCAGCTGCTTGTGACAGATGAAGTTACTAAAGTCACTTCGATAGATGGATTCATTTTTTTAATTTTACAGCTTGGGATGTTGAGCAGTGTGTTAATGCAATTCCTCTGAAGTATCTCAAACTGCTGTTATTCATTGTTTGATTGCTGAAAGTGGCAGCTTTTAATAAAATGTCAGGAACTCCAGTGCACCTGAGCTACGAAAAGTTCATGATTATGTAAATATGCCGAATGATACAAAATGAATCTGAATGATTCTGAGGAAGGATCACCAGACCCAAAATATTAACTCTAATTTCTCTCCACTGATGCTGCCAAACCTGCTGAGCTTTTCCAGCAATTTCTGTTTTTGTTTATGATTTACAGCATACGAAGTTCTTTTAGTTTTTATTTGGTGCTGAATGATGCATTTGTCTTTATTTTGTGAAAGGAATTTTTTAAAATGTATTTTGCTTTCTGCAATTTATTACTTTTTTCTGGTCTCCCCTACAGATTTATGGGAGTCCAAATTCTTTTAGTTGTATAGCTATGTTGCAGATATATTTGTGAAGAATTAGTCTTTTCATTATTTCTGGGGTGAAGTCATATCACATTACAAAAGAATAGGGTAAATAATCTGACTGCTGCTATGCTTCTACTAATACTAAATCTGTGAAATTATTTTTAACACAGGTTAACCATATATAAAAGAACAGAAAAAATATCTCAAAGTAGTTTGGATTTCATTAGAATTACCCATTACAAATGCATTTATAAATGTAATTACATCCAAGCAGTGATATTCTTACATTTCCTTCTTCAGGGGAGAAGGGCAAAAATTGGAAGGATGAAATAATATGAAAGCAAAAGATTTCAAATGTGTTGTTGTTCAGAGATGTACACTCAAAAAGTACATCAAGTTTATATGTTGTTAACCAAATATGTGTGAAAAAATATTGTAATTCTTGATCAATATTCAGCCTTGGATGGGTCACAAATTCCTCCACACTGCATTAGGAATACTGAACTCAGGTCTTTAGCGCCACCAGCTTCCATCGCTGACAGAAATTCTGATGTCTTGTCATGAGCTCAATGCCTCCATCCTTTCCTCCTTTCCTCTCTGACCACAGACTCAGGCATTTACTTTCAGCATCACAATATCCTTGCCTTTGTATCTATCACTGCTGTTCGCCTTTGGAACATTTAAGCTTGCCATCTATTGTTCTGTGAAGAACTTTGAGATGTTCTTTCTTCAAGGTGCATTATAGAAGTGTAAGTTGTTTTCGTAAACCAGTTCTAATCTTTAGTCACCATCAAGGCCTTCTCCTACTTAATATCAAACACCTTATTCCTTGCTTCCTCCTCTAATTCTCTGACTCTGGCCTCATATGACCATCCAATCCCTATTTGTCCATTGTTAGTAGCAAAACCTTCAGATACTTTTGCCACTCCCTATCCTTCTGCCCCCACAGCAGGACACTCCTATGATACCTCTCTGCCTCTCCCCTTTGTCCTTAAAATAAGTTTTAAATATCCTTCCTTTTAATGAAGCTTTAGGTAATTTGTTAACTCTCCCACAGAGTCTGGATATTCAGTCTATTACCCACTTATATCTGTGAACTTTCTTGGGGCAATTTTTGAGTTAAAATGTCAAGCCTAAGGGGCTATTGGCATTGTTGTTTTTGCTGTTACTGTTGTCTCATAATGTCTTAATTGTGGAATGTGTTGAATGTACCCCAGATGAACATTTTCAATATATCTGAAGCTTTAACTTGTACATATCTTCTGTTATCTTCTTTACAGAGGTTCATACAAGTGGAGCACGTATCAGTAATTCAAGCGTGGAGTTCAGTGCACCTATTAATGGCAGCCTGCATGGTCCATGGGCTGCAAATCAGACACGGTAACAACTACACTTGAATTCCTGATATGCGCTTCAAACTGTGCCTTGAGCACAAAATAATAGCACTAACCCTCTCTGCACAATGGCTGTAAACTGATTCTATGCATATATTGACATGATACTGCTTAACCTGCTCTGCTGTCTTTTCAAAAGGCATTAATCTATTTGTAATAAATAGATAAAGACTTCCAATATATTAATATACTTTTATTAATGTGATATAATTTTGAGGCCAGTGAGTTTTCTGAATGACATTTTACACAAAAGCAATTGTACTTTTTATCACTTTTTGATTCCTAAATGTTTCAGAAGCTGTCATTACATGAAAACTATTCTTTCAATAGATATCTGTATTAAATATTCATTTTTTTATTTCTTTTGAGGTTATTTGCTAATTTCTAGAAATTCATTGAAGTTACAACCAAACAACCTTATGCCAGAATGGAACTAAACCCCAATGGCTAAGTTGAGAAATGTGATTCTCCAGTGTGTGATTGAGTGATACAGACAAGAAAGGTCCCAGATCCAACCAGAGGTCTGTACTGAGTCCCCTGAGATGGCAGTAGAAATGTAAGGCTTAATTGACAATACAATGCATAGGTGGAAGTTAAGTGATGTTCCTACTCCTGATAATTCACCTGCTGGAAATGTTCTTCCATGTGCACAGTAGATGAATGATCCTTTTTGAGATGCCCAATAGGTAAAGAGTCAGGATCACTCCCTTGAACCACAAATAACAATTAGAAGGATACATTAAAGGGTAGCCAACGCTAAGGAGCTGAAGTCAGTGACTTTAGGAGAGGAAGATGAAAACAGGGGAAACTTGAAGGGAAAACAGAATTGAAAAAGAGCGATAAGGTAGAATGTTGTTTCACGCCTTAAGCGAAATTGATTTATATTCTTCATATATTCAATAGTTTAAATGAATCATTAAAATTTCTCACCTTTTCATCTAAACTCTGTTTCAATTTTGATTAAACAAAAGGAATGTTACAGAATGGAAACTCCCCTTAAAATGCGCAAGCCACAAAACATCCATTGATGTATAAGAAGGCATCTTGTTTATAAGTACAAAAAGGTAGGAGCTGAAGTAAAGCATATGCCCCTTGAGCTTGTTTTTGTCTCATTCATGGAATTTGGGCATTGTTGGCTTTATTGTCCATCCCTACTTGTCCTTGAGAAGATGGTGATGAGCTACCTTCTTGGACCACCCAGAATGAAAAACCAGCAAAACTTGTGAATGGCACATATTGGTCAGACTTGTCTTACATACCTCAGAGTAGAGCTGCAGTACAACCAGTGCATTCATTTCTAAGTTCTGTTTTCTTTTAAACTGGATTTTGCTATGGAGTTGCAGTCCATATGATGTAGGCAAATCCCCAATGCAGTTCGGGAGGGAGGTCCAGGATTTTGACCCAGCAGCACTGCAGTAACTGCGATATATTTCCAAGTCAGGATGATGAGTGCCTTGGAGGGGAACTTGTAGGGGGTGGTATTCATATATATCTGTGGCTCTTGTCCTTCTAGATAGAAGTAGTTGTGGGTTCAGAGCTGCTAAAGACTCTTGGTAAATCTCTACAATGCATCTGCAGATAGTACACACTGCTGCTACTGAGCATCAGTGGTGGAGGGAGTGGATGTTTGTGAACGTGGTGCCAATCAAGCAGACTCCTTTGTTCTAGATGGCGTCAAGTTTATTGAGTGTTGTTGGGTCTGCACTCATTCGGAGAAGTGGAGAGCATTCCATCAATGCTCTTGACTTGTGCCTTGTAGATGGTGGATGGACTTTGAGGAAGTCAGAAGGTGAATTACTTGGTCCAAAATTCTTAGCCTCTGATGTGCTGTGGAAGCCATTGCACTTATTTCGCAAATCCAGTGATGTTCCTGGTCAACGTTAATTCTCAGGATGTTGATAGTGGGGGATTTCAGTGATGGTAATGCCATTGAATGTTGATGGTCAGTGATAAGACTGCCTGTTATGGGAGATGGTCATTGCCTGGCACTTGCCAGTTTCCAGCCCAAGCCTGAGTATTGTCTAGGTCTTATTGCATTTGAGTAACAATAGAATCTGGAATAGTGCTGAACATCGTGCAATCATTGGTCAACAGCTCCACTTCTGACCTTATGATGGAGCTAAGGTCATTGATGAAGCAACTGAAGATGGTTGGGCCTAGGACACTACCCAGAGGAATTCCTGCAGAGACGTCCTGGAACTGAGATGACTGACCTCTGACAATCACAGCCATCCTCCTTTGTGTGAAGTATGAGTCTGGCCAGTGCAGAATTTCCTCATAGTTCCCACTGATTCCAGTTTTGCTAGGCCTCCTCAATGCAACACTCAGTCAGATGTGACCTTGATGCCAAGGGCTGTCACCTCACCTCAGGCGTTAAGCTCTTTTTCAATGTTTAAAGCAAGACTGCAATGAAGTCAGGAGCTGTATGGCCCTGGCAAAACCCAAACTGAGCATCGATGAGCAGGTTATTGCTAAGCAAGTGCTGCTTGATAGCATTGTTAATGACACTTTCCAACATTTTAATGCTGATCAACAGTAGACTGATGGGGTTAGATTTCCTCTAGATAGTGATCAGGAGTGGAACCTATCACTGATATTTTTCAGCTTTCATGACATGAGGTCACAAGTATTTCTATTGCTATCTCAGTTGACATCAGCGTAAACCCAGGGGGATCAAACTGGGGCCAGGATTGAGGGTGCAGGGGGAGGCGGCTTTCCCTGTTCTCTATTTGTATTCCAGGTACATGTTTCATAAGACATTTTGTTCTTTATACTGGTGATGACCAAATACAACAGATGAAGAATCTTGACTCTTCCTGCTAAATCCACTGAACAAGAACTAACCAGAAAACCTTTATATTAAACCTCTTTATTTCTGCATGTGTCTTCCACTTGACAAAGGTATGCTTGTTAATGAGCAGCCACTGTGCTGTGAACGAATATCTAGTGGCAGTACACTGCTTCACAGCATGTTCCTGGTGTGCCCAGGCTTGCATATAATCCAAACTTGCAAAGAGAAATATGTCTCACACTTTCATGTTACTGCAGTGACAGTGTGTTAATCTACGAGAGTCTAATCCTACTTTAAATTGAATAGATCAATATTTGGCACAACAATTTCTGCTCTCTCACAGAAATGATGAAATGTTACTTGTTTAATTTCAGAAATATCATCTGAAATATTTTACTTAACTTCATGAGCAAGGAGCATAAAGCAGTCAACACCCATACACACACCTCCTTGAGATACCTATATTAATTTCTTATTTGGAAATAAAAGTTTGCATGGAAGTGAAACCAAGTTTTACTCCAACCTTGGCATTCATTTGATGGAATCCTTAAGATTGGTACAAATGACAAGGGCAATTTGGCCAAGGATATCTCATCCATTCACAAAGGACTTACAGTCATCTTTCTACAGAGGGCCACCTTCCCCTCACCCCATCACAGCATCTAGCTGTTTCTGAATTGATCCAGAGATTTTGTCGCCATGACCTGAACATGAGGGGACCATATATATCTGCTGAATGTGGTGCAGGTTTAGCTTCAAGAAGTCCAAATTTCCCTTTAATTGCTCGAGGATATCTTCACGAATTGATTTATGGTTGAAATTGATAGGCTGACATTCATCATTTGTTTTGGAAAAAAAAGAAAACTTTGACAAATCAATACCAAATGAATAGTGCAATCAGGAATATGTTGGGTTATGAACTGCTGATTTAGGGAGTGTTTTCAGACTGCAATAGAAAACAGTGCTTGCTACTTCATAGTCATGGCAGTGTTACTGGAAGTCCTTCTTGTAATTTTTATAGATTTTTGCCAATATAGTAAAGCACCTACTTAAAAAGTAAATCATTTAAACAGCAGCATTGGAAAAGCTATTTCTGACCTCAAAGATAGTACATGAAAAGATAAAGAGCTCTTCAAGATGGTTTTAGTTTAAATGACCCAGGTTATTAGGGAATACTAAGAAATGCTTATTTTGAGACAGTTTTCCAAAGACACTGATGCACGAACCTGACATGGTGCTGACACGGAAAACTGAAATAAAGGGAAGAGCAGCAGAAAAAGAGAGCCTGAATTTCCTGTAGATTTTAAAGCAAATTGCACCAATAAAAGGACAGGGAATAAACATGTGTCTCCAAGCACCCACTCACTGGCTTCCTAATGGTAGGCTGCATAACACTTGTCAACAGCAGCAAATGGAAAAGCAATAAAAAAAAGACTGAAGCATGGGCTGCTGTCTAAGAAACATGCAAGAGGCAAAAGCGATGATACATTACTGTCTTGCACTTGGGTATTAACTAATGTTTTACTCGAAATCTTCTTTTCAGAGATCATAGAGGCATCTCCAGTTCAAACACCAGGAGACCAGAGCTGGACACCCAGGCTTGCGGTCAAATTCCCGGTTCACCATCAGGCCAACGACTATCTACACAACGTCTACATTCCCGGGACAACCACCACGCTCTCCGGGAAGTCAACTACTGAGCGTGAAGGGAGGAAATCCTTCATTACTTTCGGGAAGAAGAAGAAAAGTGGTAAATAAAGTGAAGAAGAAGCAAGATGGAATTGAATATTAATGGTGAGAATTATAAAATGGAGCTGCATGACTGAAGCACGTTTTTTTAAAAAAAAATAAATTACTAAATGTCACTCAAAAAAAAACACTGGACCAAAGCAGGTCCTTTGCTGCACTAAGTATTAGTTTGAAAGGGAATGGAGTTTTCTTTAATTGCATTTCCAATGTGTAAGTTCAGAATGCTTCAGTAATCCTCAATGAAATAAGGATCAACAAAATTGCACCAACTGCAAATGCTTATAGATGTGAACACTTCTCTCCTAGCAATCCAGAGATTAAGGTAATTTGGTCGAGGCTGTGTGGATGTGATTCTGAGTATCCTTTCTGCATATCCTCCTCAGGGTAGTTTGATCTTAGAGTAGGATAATAGGTCAGCACAACACCGTGGGCCGAAGGGCCTGTACTGTGCTGTACTGTACTATCTTCTATGTTCTATTGCCACAGGGAATTTGTCAGGAATACTTCATCAAATGCCATTGAACAACTAAAATTGGTATCAGGTCAGTGTTACAACATTTCTATCAATGAGCAAGATCCCAAGCACTGGCTTGACCAAGGAAAGATTTCAGGAGTACTCCCAACATGATACACAATGTACTGATGAGACTCGATTCCCTCCACTCTTCATGATTCCTCCCATGGTGGGCTTATAAATTCAGTTTTTATATAGCGATTGATAAGCCCTTGGCAAGAATTGCATCCACATGGCATTTATTTGCCGTCTCTGAAGAGCAAGAGATAAAAGAATGTGCTGGAAGCCATCAACATCTGGGATGGCTGTAACCAGAACTCTACCGACAGATAGAAGAAATAGATTTTCTGAGTTTTTCAATTAATGAGCAGCGAGGCTGCAAAACCGTTGGACCATGCAATGAGGACTATTGGCATGGACCATTGTTTTCCATTTCATACATGCAAAGGCCACAGGCTAAGTGGTGAAAACTGGAACTAGAGTAGGTGCGTGTTTGATGACTGGCATGGACAAAATGGGCCAAAGAGCCTCTTTTCACACTGTAAAACCCTATGACTGCACATGTCAGCAGCAGAGAGAGAGCTACTTAATTAAGTCACTGAGAAATTGTGCCTTTCCTGGAGAAATGGAAGTTCGATCCTGGCTCATCACCATGATGGGAAGAAATTAAGGAAAACATTTAAAGAAAATCCATTCCCTTCTGTAAACAGCTGTTGCACAATGCTAGCAGCCACAATTTTAATTCAGGCAACAATTCATGTATCATGTCTCCATTTATTCAGTCCAATGTGATAAACGGCCTTAACATAGATTAAGGAACACTTTAAGCGTCCATTTCCTCATTGTGCATGTTAGCCACACTGAGGGTTATCGCTTGCGTTACATTTTCTGTAATTTATTCACTGTCTAACACCCTATATTTAGCTTTAGGAGGGGTGAAACAGAACAGAAAAGAAATGAAAGGAGAAAAAGAGTGAAAAGAGAAAATAACTGCAATATGATTTCCTCTATTGGTTTGTTGAATTGTATGAGACGTCAGTCAGAACTGGCAGGTGGAGTACTAACTAGGAACAGCATCCGCCCAAGAACATTGACATTGACTGTCCCATTCCTTTGGAGCACCATTTGATTCTAAGATGGCAGTAACAATGACTGTGGGCATTTACAAACTTGTGGTTTTGAGTGTTCTTTCATCTGCCTGAAATAGAAAATATGACGGGACAAGGCTTACTAAGGGGGAAAGAATAAGCAGTAAGAAAGGAGGGAAGTAAAGTGTAATGAAATACCAAAAAAAGACACATTTACAAATGGGGCTAGGGTTATCACCTACAGAAGGGACCAAAACTGGCTAGGAGGGTTAGATCAGATAGAACCACAGAAAAAAATACTCCGAGGCATCCTTTGACGAAGATGAGAATTTGTTAAGAACTTAGTAATGCTTCTGCCTCAAGAAAAATGGTAGTGGAGAAAAAAACATAACAAGGTTTCATCCTGTTTAGAATGTATTTAGAAATTCCAGACCAACTACAATGGCGTAGATCTCAACTTTGACTCGTCATGTTAAAAGGATGATAAGCAAGTTAGCAAACACTGTTACGTCTTGGCTTTTAATTCTGTCAAAGTGGGTAGGTAATCTGGGTGCATTACAGAAGATATTGCCAACTTGCTATCATCTATTCTACACCATTGTAGAACGTTAACGTATGCCTCCTCTGTTCTTCACTGCCAATGACTTTAGCACAGATAGCAAATAGAGAGCCCTAATGTCCTGAGCTCAGCGAGGAACAATCACCTGGCCTTCCTGCTCCTGCCTGCAAACTAACAACCACTACCAGAGGTCCAAGTGGACTATTCATTGGGACCAGGTATGGGAGTGCAGGCTGTGCCCAAGGATCCATACAGAGTCAGTGCCTTCAAAAGAACAGAAAAGAAAGGACAGAAAAAGTAATTGGCAAAGTGAAAAAGCAAAGAGTCATTGAGTTCATTCCCACAGAGGTGGTAAATATGGATAGGGCTAAATTTTTTGGAACAGGGACTTGAACTATTTAGAGACTATTTAGAGTCCTGTCATTTAACTTTATTTAAATACTAGCGATAACCCTATAACAAGTTTTCTCTAAGACTGGATCAATCAGCCATAGCTTTGAGAGTAAAGCTTTGGTAGCCAGTGCAGGAGACGTAGTCTGTAGCTGTTTTAATATGTAGGCATGCTGAATATGTCCTGTGAGTATTGAATATAAGTATATCCATATACAAGTAACTGTCCTATTTCTTTGGAAAAGCAAAAGACTGAATTAGATCTCGAGACATTGTGAATCTCTATAGATTTTTGGATGTTTTTTTGCTAAAACTTGTTTTATTACGATTATACTGTGTGGTGTTGTAGATTTCCTATACACTGCTTTTTAAGTACAATTATCCAATATTAGTGGAACATAAAGTGGTAGATTCTTTCTAATGATGTACATGTCTATTTCTGAAGTTTGCTTGCAATTGCTGACATCAGTATAATAGCCTGTATGACACTTAGTGAATATATTGTGCCCTGTATTTTTCTTCAGAACTAAATTGCTGTAATCCTAGTGTGACAATCTTGCTTTACTTTAATTGCAGTAGTTTATAGTAGTAATGTTTTGATCTAACTTCAGTCTTTACATTAAAATTATTCCTTTAATCCAACATGCTGTCTGTGTTTTGATGTTCAGAGGTTCTTCTGTAATAGGACTGACAAATTCAGTTTTGAAATATATTGCTAAGCTATGATATCATATAACCAAGGCATTTAAAATTACACATGGAGAATGAGGCTAATGAAAGTCTAGTAATCCTGTTAAACACTTCCCTGTCTTAAGCAAATTGTCCCAATGTAACGTCCAACTATACCTTAAAACACCTTGAAGGTCATTCCAAACATTTTTCATTTATTTAGTAAAGAAGTTCTCCCTGAAACCCATTTGAAATTTCCCAGGCTGAGGGATCGATCATTTTTGAATGAAATGAGGAGAAATCTCTTTCACTCAAAGAGCAGTGAAACTTTGGAGCTTTATTGACACAAAGGGATGTAAATGCTCTATTTTTATGCATACTTAAAATTCATGTGGAAGTTTAATAGTGGGTCAGAAAATCAAGAAAAATAAGGAGCCAGTGAGAAAATAAAATCAAAGCCCAAGACCAACCCTCCTTGTATAGCTTAGCAGAAGTTCAATGAGCCATATGGTCTACTGCTTTCCTTATTTCTTTGGTTCTTACATTTTCTTATCACTAGAGCCCTAGAATCAAAGAATCACAGAATTAATAATGCACAGAAGGAAGCCAATCTGTCAGCTGAGCCCATGCAGGCTCACTCCAAGAACCAGTTTGCAAGGCCCATCCTCCCACCCATTTCAAAAGAGACGAAGACCAGTATAGCATAGGAACAAGCCCTTTGACCCACCAAGCCTATCCTGACACATGACTCCTTTCTAAACAAAACAAACCCTTTGCCTCTACATGGTCTATATCCTTATATTCCCTAGCTATTAGTGTATTTGTCAAAATGCCTCTTAAAAGTCACTGATAGTAGGAACTGCAGATGCTGGAGAATCCGAGACAACAAGGTGCAGGGCT